TTCCTTTTAAACTTTCTGGCCTCCTGGGGATACAAAGTCTCCAAGGAAAAGACTCAATTATGTCTCCCACAGGTCACCTACCTAGGCATGGTCTTAAAGGGACAGACTTGCTCCCTGATTCATGAGTGGATCGACCCAATCCTCCATTTCCCACTCCCCCAGACCATAAAGCAGCTTAGAACTTTTTTGCGAGTTGCAGGATTTTGCTAAATCTGGATCCCTAGATATGCAGCCCTTGCCAGATCTCATTTTATGCTCCTTCTAATACTCCTATTTGGGTCTTGCATAATAAGTGCTCTCTCCAGATTCAAATCTCGACAGGTCCAACGGATCAAACTCCAGCTCTTAGTCAAGGAATACTCACCTCTGCCTACTCATGAGCCCTTCATCCAGTTCTACTGAGGGCCTCTGGAGACTACAGGGGTCAACCCCTGAGACAAGTACCACCCCTTACTCCCATACCCTCCACCCCCTACCCCCCATCCCCGTTGCCCCATTGCCAGCATGAAGTAGCTAGATGAGTCATCACCCCTCTCCCCAACAGCAGTTGGGTACTTGTCTCAGATGGGGGATTTGTTGGGTCTGGAGTCCTAAGGCAGATAAGTGAGTATCCCATCCCCCATGGAGAGCACTGTATTCCTGCATCCTGAGAAGGAGTTGTAAATCTGCATTTCTGCATCCTGAAGAGGAGATACGGATCTCATAGATCTGCCACAGGACTGATGAGCAAAATGCTCTCAAGATTGTCCCCTCCCCCCACCAATAAGGGGCAAATAAACCAGTTCATCTAAGAAAGCCCGTAAAATCCATGGCCAATGAGAAGAACCCACCTAACCCTTACCCAAACCCAGAGTTAAAATGTCCACAAAAACCCCAGCCTTCACCTGAGCAGTGAACCACCAGTTTCCGGGCTCTGCTGCACTGCTCTAGCTGTAACCTTTCCTTTCTCTCTAGTAAATCCTACTTCCAATACCGGCTTTGGCTCACAAGTCAGTCAGCTGCCTCACAAGCCAGTTCCCTGGCCTGTGAAGGCAAGGACCCTCGACACCAGCCTGCAGCATTTCACACTGGCACGTAACATAAGCAGAATATTCTGATACTTTATTCTCATTTTCGTCTTTAATCCACAAATCAATGCAATGAGGCAGATATTGTTAAGGGTATTTTACAAGCAAGGCTCAAGGATGTTAATTACTTGAGCAGAAAAGAATATTACAAACCCAGAAGATATGTGCTCAGCCTTGACAGATAATCACATCAAAACTAAAGACCACCGGATTTTTCTATAGAGTTTGTGAAAGAATGTAAGCCTGTTGATCTGAAGACTGGATAGTGTGGGATTAGCCATTTTGACTTGTTGAGACTGAGGGGAAAAAATGTTAACAACTATTTATATAACCAATTATCATGACATTTACCTTTAATCTATGTTAATTCCCAGTCTGGACATCATAAAAATCCAGTCTAGGCCTAAGTTTGTTCACTAAAAAGCACAAACATCTCTCCTATAGTATGGAAGTATTTATCTCAGGTTGGGGGTTTAGCTCAGTGGTACAGTGCCTGCTAGCATGTGTTTCACAAGCAAACTAGATTAACTCTAAAACACAATGCAGAATCTGTGCTGCCACTTTCCTGGGTCCCTCCACCATGATCTATTCCCTCATTTCTTTCAGGAGGTTTCATGGCCATATGTTAGTTAAGGAGCAAATGTAGTTTAAAAAAAAAAAAAAGCCCCTCTGACCCAGTCCTCTGCTCTGCAGTGAGATGCAAGACCCTTGCATCATCTACAAATGTCCTCCTGGAGGACTGGCCTCAGCAGGAGCCCTCAGCCACTCCCCATCCTCTGGAGGTGGGCATCACAGAAGCAGACCTCCTGCACCTGTGCCCATACCTAGTCAGTGGGACTAAGTAGAAGCTGGAGACTAGAAGAGAAAGGGGGAGGGCTAGGGGCTAGGGCAGAAGGGAGTACCCTGACAGCTCCCGAGGAGTTCACTGCATTTAGCATCTGAACCTGGGGAGAGGTATAAACCGAAGGAGAAGAAACAATGGACTCTCTGTGGATTTCTATTTTTTGCTTGTGAGACAGGTCTCACTAAGTAGCCCAGGTTGGTGACACTCTTTCTTCATCCTCCCCGTGGCAGGCATGTACCACCACAGCTGGCTTTCCATGGAATGTGTGCATAAACATTAGGTAATTAACACATAAACGGGGGTAATCATGATAATGTAACAACCATTTTTGGGGGTTTTTTTTTTGGTGGTGGTAGTGGTACTGGGGTTTGAACTCAGGGCCTCACGCTTGCAAGGCAGGCACTCCACCGCTTTAGCCACTCTGCCAGACTGCACCAACCTATTAAAAGCATCAGTTAATAGCACAAAAACTCCAGAAGCACCCGGGGAATATAACCTGGTAGCCTAGAGGACAGTCAGCAGGGCTGTCCAGGTGGGATAAGAACAGCAGCTATTTTAGCAGCTAGTGGCTTCTGTGACCCTCAGGTGCCTACTCAGAGAGGATAGCAATGCTGGCAGCCTCAAATTGTCTTTCAAGTTGGAGATGCAGCTCTAGCCTTGCCACTGGGATTTTCTTCTATGCAGTGGGAAGAAGATTTTCTCTCAAAGAACCACCAATGCTTTTTAATTATTAAGGCATGGAAGTGACAGTGTACTGACTTATTAACTCATCCAACACATATCTAGTGACTGCCAGCTCTGAGCCTGGCAACATGCTATATATTCTGGGGACATTGTAGGACAATTCTCCTCTTCCCTCCACTAGGAAACCTAATGCCATCCTGTCATGGGAGTGCAGGGCTCCCTACCTCATGGGCCAGCAGGAGAAGTGGGAACACAGAGCCTGGATCAAACCCTGGAGTAAAACTTAGAAGCATCAGAATGGGTGCACCTTGTGCCTTCCACCACAGGAAAGGAGTCCATGGCCTGCAGTGCTCTGGCCCATATATGGATGACAAGGAAGGTAGCCAGCTCATGTAGGGCCCACAGCAGGAGAGGGCTGTGCAGTAGGTCCAGGCTGGATGCAGGCAGCTCCCCTGTTAGGCCACAAGACTCAGCAGATCCCCATAGTAGTAGAGGTGCTGTGTGTAGTTCCTGGCAAGTCCCACAAGGAATGCGGAGCACAGGCCCCTAGAATTCTGGGGTGTATCTGCAGTAGAGAACATTCTGGAAGCCCATCCTGTCACCTTACTGGGCCTGATGGAGATGGGCATATGGACAAGACCATCAGTGTCCACCCAGCCAGAGCTGCCCATGTGAGCTGGGCCCCTTCAGGCCGTGCCAAGATGTTGACATGTTCAACAGCAACCTGACCTAAGGTAGAAGTGGGACCTGTGGGAGTAAACACAGAGGGCAGGTGACACAGACCCTCATTATGTCTGCACCTGGGCAACACAGCTGCTTCATCTCGTGCTTATAACCTCATGAAGGTCCTTAAGACCAGCAAACATGGCCTCAGACAAAGGGGACAAGCCCAAGGACCTGGTGACTTGCAGAGCAGAGGGAAGGTTTTCCAGGCAGAGAGAACAGCAACCTGAAGGCCCCATGGCTGGGGCCAAGTTTGTTGGGCTGGTGACAAGGAAGAAGGATGTTCTTCATTCCCCTTCAGGATGCCCCCTCCTCAGCTCCATCCTCTCTGTGCTCCAGGCAGCAGAGCTGACTGCAAGCCAAGGGCTCTCTTGCCCCCTGGCTTCCTTTTGGAAGGATCAGAGGGCGAAAGGGAGGCAGGTGGCAGGTGGCAGGTGCCAGGTCTGGCTGGACACACCTTGATGTCTTTAGCCCATGCTACAGACTCTCCCCATTGATTCCCCATAGCCTGATCAATGTGCTCTCTGCAAACAGTTTCTCCTCCAAGCTATCCAGAGAACGCCCGATTTCAATGAGCCTTGTTTCCTGCCATGTCCTTTCTTGGGAAGAAGACCTGTGTCCTGCAGCTCAAGAACAAAGGGTAGTCACAGGAATGAGTGGGCACCAGGATGAGTAGATACCCTCAGCAGGGTGCCTGGGAATGTGGGGTGGGGGTTCAGGAGGTTCCCTCCTTACTGAGTGACCAGCTCTTTCCACATGTGCCCTGGACGAGACCAATTAACTTCATACTGGACCCTCTTGCCAGCAGCTACACGAATGGCAAGTGCACCAAACTCAGGGACTAGAGTCTGTGTGTTTCCAACCCTGGGACCAACTTGTGTCCTGAGTCCCCTGACCCCCACCATACACACACCTAGGGACCATGCCATCCCTGGTCTCTGGCTCTTTATGGCCAGCCCCTCGCCCAGCCTTTTGTGCAGCATTTTTGTGAATGTTATAGTTTAGCCCTGTGCTCCCTACTAATGAGGTGATGACTCTGGGAACTGACAGGGAGCTGGGGGTAGAGGGACAATCCCACTGGTCTTCCTGGGCCCCAGAGTTCCCCTTCCTGGGACTCGGAGTGTGATTGTAGGGATTTATCCCTCTGATTCAGGTTGTGGCAAGGATGCAGTGGAAGCAGCCTTGCAGGGTGATTGGCACCCGGGAAATGCTTTAGGCGCACTGGCCATTATGGGCGTGAGTGTCATCTGACCTCAGAATGACAGTGACTCTGAGCATAAAAGCAATTTTGTGTTCACAAAAGGAATGGCTGATACTTTCATAAGAATCTAAAACTTAGGAATGTGAAAACATTCCAAAACTTTAAAAGTAAGCAGCAAGCTAGAAGGTAGGGTTTTTTGTGTGTGTTTTTGGTTTTTGACAGGGTCTGCCTTAGAGCTCACGATTGTCCTGCTCCAACCTCCCAAGTGCTGGGATCACAGGTGTGCACCACCATGCTCGGCTTAGAAGATAGATTTTTGTTTTCTCACAAACATGATGGACAAAGGAAACCAGAAAACAATCACCCCCCTGCCCAGGGCTGAGGGCCATTGTGCTCCCCAGCGTGTGGGCCTAGGCACAACCGGGTGCTAGGTACTAGGCTTGGGCCAGCCTCCATGGGGACCTGCCAGGTGGGGACTCACCCGCTGGTGTCCATGCTCTGTAGCCGCTGAAACAGCGTCTCGGAGAGGCTGGGCCGGCTGACCTCGGTCGCTCGGGGGCTCTCCACTGGAAGAGGAATTTCCTTAGCCTCGCAGGGCCCAGGAGGTAGAGGGATGTTTCTGGGTGGCAGCTCAGGTGGAGACATGACACTCTCTACCCAAGAGAACAGCAGGAATGTCTTTAGTGAGGACAGTCTGCATTAACCCTGCCCCACGTACACCACTGCAGCCCTGTGAAGTTAAGGAAGGTTCCCATCTGTACCCACTTCCTTGCAGACTCTCTGACTAGACAGGGGGGCCTCTTGTGGCTGACCTGGTTTCCTGATCCTTGGATCTGGGACCTCCTGTTGTGTCTGTCCCACCATTTGGCTCAGCTAGCATCAGCTGGGGTCAATTGGCCTGGCAGGCTTGGGGTAGGAGGGTGCTTACAGGGCAGGTCAGCAGGAAAAGCTTGGCTTTCTTGCTGGGACCAGACAGAGGACAGGTCCCAGAATGGGGCCAGAGTACAGGATGGAGACCAAAGACATAGAGGCAGGCAAGGTCCACCTACTGCTCCTCTTTTTCTCATCCCACCCCCCTCTCTGTACCTTCTCTTCAGCCTCTGCCCCCCCTTCTCTCTTCCAGCAGATCCTTGGAGGCGAATTTAAAAAGTGAAGGGTCCCCTCACCCAGGGACCTGAAATGTTAAACTAGCAACCTGAACTTGGCCTGAGAGATGGAACCCTTGCCCATCCCCTTTAAAATTTCTTTCCTGAACATACCACCAACAGGCAAAGGTCACTGAACCCCCACCAGGCCAGGTCTCCTTGCCTAAGCCGCTTCCCATACCTAATGGCCCCCCTGCCAGCCCCCAGCCCCAGTGCTGCCTGGGTGCTTTCTCTTTAATGGACGTACGCTTCACTTATTTTACCTTTCTGGGGTTCTGAAGACCATTATGATCTGTTTTGAGACCGAGGGCTTTGAGAAGACCTGAGGCACATTAGACACCTTTCACTGGGGCTGAATGTCACGTTGCTCTGGGTGGTGTCAGCTACTGAGGCCTCATTTGGGGAAGTAAAGCCCATGGTCACGAGACTGGGCTTTTCTTTCCAGCCCTCTCAGGAAGTGTGTCAGGTTTTTCTCTAGACAGCATCCTAAGGCATGGCAAGCTGGGGAGGTGGTGACAGAAGAGAGAGTGGTGGAAGGCACAGCTGCCAGACAACTTCTCCCAGGTCAAGACCAAGACTGCCTTCTCCCAGGTCCCTGGGGATACAGCATAGCTGGGGCACGTGTGAGCGACCATGGACAACTCACTGTTGGGCATGTCAGCTTTGGCTCTGGCTCAGTCACAGCTATACCTTCCTGACTCCCCAAGGGCATCTTTTACTCAGACCAGGGAGACAAGAATGAATATGGCCTGCCTGAGTCCCTTTTCGACTCCATGGAGCTGGGGCCCTTTGGGAGCCCTGCTTTCCCTGGCCTCCCCGCTCCTCCACCAGGGCTGACAAGGCCTCTAGTCTGCCCTCTAACAGGCAGGTGGTGAGCTGGTGAGCTGGTGAGCTGTGCACTCATGGAAAGGGGGTTTCCAGGGAGGTGGGAGGAAGGGGCTGGTGACCCATAAGCCAGCCACTAGAGTGGGACAAAAAGGGCACCCCACATGTGGATGGCAGCAGCCCACCAGGGACAGGCAAGAGCCAGGACAGGGTCCTCAGAGTTGTCAGTCTAACCTCTCCATGTAGGGGAGCTTGAGGAAAGGGCCTGAGAGCTGAGGGGCTCAAGGAGAAATGAACCTTTGAGAGGAGAACCTTTGCTATGAACCCCCAGGACAGCTCTTCCTTCAGCACAACTTGCTCTCTGGGACTCACTCTGCTGGGTGGGCCTGTGCCTCACATAGATTCAGAGACTCTATTTTTTTTCCCCCAACATATCTGTAGGTGCTATGTGTTTGTCCAGTCACCCCCTTCCTTTTTTTTTGAGACGGGATCTCGCTATGCAGCCCAGGCTGGCCTAGAACTCTTGGTCTTCTTGCTTCGGCATCCCGAATGCTGCGGTTACAGGCCAGCTTTGTCCCAATTTTAGCGATGATATAAAGAAACACCTTTCTCATCCTTCTAATTCAGAAAACGGATCTCCTTTATTCACCTCACAGTGAAATTACAATGATGATAACAATGGCAGGTGCATTTATTTAGTGCTCACTATGTACCAGTTTCTGGGCACTACATTCATGGACTCATTTGACCCTTGTGACATCCTGAGAGTTAGATACAGGACTATCTTTACAGCGAAATCTGTGGTTCAGAGAGGTTAAGTAACTTACTCAAAGTCACAAAGCTAATAAGCATTAAGGAATAATGTTCAGCTGTCTGACTTCAGAGCCTGGGTTCCTAACTCATTCTCAATCACTGTGCTGCCCTATCTCCCTCTGATCACAGGACCCTAATCCACAAGTGCTGTGGCGTGTGGAAGGCAGGCTTTGGGAGGCACCTCCTGGCCTCGCAGCATCCCCTCCTTTCCCTCTTACCCGTGTCCTCCTCTGGGTCGTCGGTCGTGTCCTCCTCCTCCAGTGGCACTGGGTACTGCAGGTGGGTCACCAGCCCCATGTTTTCCTTCTTATAAAAGTCAATGAGCTGATCCAGCTTGGTGAAGAACCTCATGGGGACGCCTTCGGATGCCTGAGGACAGAACCCCATGCAAAAGCACATTTTAACTGACTAGAATGTCACCGCACCACAAAGGCCACCTGCAGCAGAGACCAGGGAAGCCAGGAGTGACCACGATCCAGAAAAAGCCTCAGGCTGTACACCCACACATGCTCACACCAGAGCCCTTCTTAGAAGGCACAGACAGGGTCATTTTAAAGACCGTTTTCTTTGTCTTAAAACTTTTAAGTATTTGGTTATACAAATAGTGTACTCATTAGAAAACATGGATTATTTTGGAAAAGAAATCACCTAAAATCTCACAACCCCAAGAGATTTATTTTCAATAGTTTAGAACACATTTTTCTTGTATGTGTGGTGTGTTTGGTGAGGAGAGTTATATTTGCTTTTTAAAAAAATTCTGATTTTTATTTTTGGTGCTGAGGAGTAAACCCCGGGCCTCATGCAAGCAAAGTATAAATGTTACCGCTGAGGGACACTCCCCGCCCCAGATAATTAATTTTATTTATTTATTTGTTTATTTACTTTCTGGGGGACTGTGGATTGAAGCCAGGGCCTCATATGTGCTAGGCAAGCACCCTATTACTGAGCTACGTCTCCAGCCCTTTGTAATTTTCTTTTGAGACAGGGTCTCATTAAGCTGCCCAGGTTGGCCTCAAACTCAGTATATAGCCCAGACAGGTCTCAAGTTCACTATCCTCCCTCAGCCTCCTGAATGCTGGGATTACAGGTGTGTACCACTATGCCCGGCTTGTAAGTCAGTTTTATCAAAACTCAGAAAATGGTCTAGGTGGCACAGACATCTTCCCTAGTTTGTATCTCTGTTGTTTATTAAGTGATTCTGGTGACTATTCCAAAGCTCTAGCACCAGGCTCCAGCAGGAAATTCAAGGTCTTTACTGAGCAGCTGGCTATGCTCCCATTGAGACCTCACTCCTACTAACCCCACCTCCCACCCCACCACTGAGGCCCTGAGCCAGCAGGTAGCAGGAAGGAGCAACAGATCAAGTTTTTGGTAGGTAATGGTGGTGCCAGAATTGTCCCTCTCTAGATGGGCCTTTCCTGACCTGACCCCAACCACCAAGTGCCTATGGTTTACCCTGTCTTTTTTTTTTTTTTTGGAACTGAACTCAGGGCCTACATCTTGAACCACTCCACCAGTCCCTTCTTGTGATGGGTTTTTTTTGTTTGTTTGTTTGTTTGTTTGTTTTTTGAGATAGGGTCTTGAGAACTATTTCCCCAGTCTGGCTTCAAACCACAATCTTCCCGATCGCAGCCTCCTGAGTAGCTAGGATTACAGGCATGAGCCACTGGCGCCTGGCCCATCCTGTCATTTTAACAATGACTTTCACTCTAACTTCTGACTTGGAGGTCAGGGGTCCAACTGCTCCCTTGGGGGCTGCCAAATAACTTCTGACTAAAGGGAATAGGACCCATGACTAGTGGGAAACAAGCCAGAGAGCAAATAGATTGGGTTGGAAGGGTAGGCTGGGTCCTGACTCACCCACTCCAAATCAGATACCTGCTGCTGCCAGCTTGGAGAGGTGGACTTGGGAGCCAGGGGTGGTGCCCTGCTTTGGAGGTCTCAGGATTATGGGAAATGGAGTGAGCTCAGACATCCAGGACCACAGCTAGGAAGACCTGAGCCCTGGCTTCTGGGCGGTGAAGTCAAGTTGAGGTAAGGACACATTTGCCTTCCACAAGAACACGCCTCTATCATTCACCTTGGACTCTGGCTGTCTACCTGAACCCTGTCTGTTTCTCTCTGTCTGTCTCCCCGACCCTCCAAGTGTACCTGTATATTCACATGTAATACACATATGTGTAAATATATGCATGGGATATGCATGTGTGTTTGCATTGCATGGCTTAAGCTAAATAGGAAGTTTCTAGAAAGATTAACAGAAGGGTTTGTTTATTCTTTTCAATAAATTCCCTTGTTTTCACAAAGTCCCACACTGATTGAAAGCAATCTCTTTTAAGCACTTTAAACTAGAAATAACCTGAGCGGTAGCAACCAGGCTTTATAAATAGTAAGTTCAAAACCAAACATGAACAGAAGAACAAAAATAATTTGACAAGATGCAAAACCTGTGAACTCAATTCAGTTAGCGCAGTCGTGAGTGAGATCACCCTAGCCCAGAATTCACAGCTAATGGAGGACATGCTGTTAGGTGTATGGAAAAGGGGTAGAGAAAAATCAAAGACAATCAGAGTGGAACCACTCAGGTGTGAATCTGGGAAGGGGTTCTCGCTGGTGGCTGCTGGGGAGCGTGAGTGCATGTGTGCTTTGGGGATTTAGCAGGCATCAGTGCTAAGACATGCATTGTTTTATGTACCATTATAGAGCTGAAAACTAAACTATGCTACTCTATTGCTCGTGGAACACGTTGATTTCAGAGATATGAACTATGAAAAAAATAAATGACTTCCAATTGGCAAGGACGCTGCGTGCTAAGAAGCAGAGGAGCAGGTGATCTGAACAGAGCCCCTGCAGAGCCCAAGGAGGGAGGAGGGAAGGCAGTGGTGGCTGCCCAGTCCTGACGGTCAGGCAAGCTTGCGTTTGGATGCTTCACAGAGGCCAGGGAGCCAGGGGCTTGCAGACCAGTGCTGCTGGTGGTCCAAGTGGCCCAGGCCCTCCTAAGTTCCCAGCAAGGTAGAGAATGCAGGGCTGAGTTCAAACCGTAAGGATGGTGAACAACCTGTCGTGTTGTGTCTACTTACTGACCTGCTGAGGAGGGGACTTTCCTCCTCTGTCTGCACCACCTTTGGGTATGATGGTTTGGGTGTCTGCTCCCCCAGCTCGTGTGTTGGAATCTTCATCTCCACATTTGAATGCTAATGATATTTAGAGGTGGGGCTTTGGGGAGATAATTAGGATTTAATGAGCTCATGAGGGCGGGGCCTCCACAGTGGCTCTCGGAAGACAAGAGCCCCAAGCTCGCACACTTGCTCTGTCTTGCCACAGGATGCCTGAGTCACATTATGGAGTAGCAAGAAGGCCCTCGCCATTCTCTGCCTTCTCAGTGTCCAGAGCTGTGAGACAAAAAGCCTCTTTGTTATTAAATGGCTCAGACTGTGGTATGGAAAACAGATTAAAGCCAGGAGAAAGCAACAGGAAGAATGTACGCCCCTTCTACAGGGAGCAGATGAAAGACGCACTTTCACACAGGGGCCAGCAGGACACAGCCTGTCCCCACAGGCAGCAAAAATGGTGAAGGCAGGGGCTCCATCCAACCAGGCCAGAATGAGAGGGTCTTGGAGCAACTGTTCAGAATGGTGTCCTCCTAAGTCTTTGCAACTGAGCCTAACATTCAGTTGGATTAACAGAGTCTCCTCCGGGAATTTACGTTGAAAGCATAATTGAGACCAGGAACAGGAGGAGAAAGGGCGAGGGTGAAAGGTGGGGATTATAGAAGCTGCTGAGCTGCCCACACAGGGGCGGGGTGAGCAGTGTGGTCTAGACAGGTGGGTGGGAGCCTCCAACTGTGCAGTACAGGAAGGAGCAGCCTGCTCACCGCATGCCACACTGAAGCCAGGCCTGAAAGTTCTCTTGTCAAGAGCAATGTGGCCAACAGAACAGGGCCAGATGGCCAGTGAACAGCTAGGTGTGTTCAAAGGAAAGCCGTCCCTGGGTCCTGCCCAACAAAGCCAGGAGGCCAGCTTCTGTGTGACAACAGGCCAGCAGGATCCGTGGTGTCCTCTAGGGATGAGCCTGGGGAGCCTTGCTTATGGCAGGTCACATCCATACCCTCCTGCCTGTGAACCCGCCAGTCAGGATCCTGGTCTGCTGACTGTGCCAGGATTCAGACTCAGACTGGCCATCCAGGGTGCTCAGCAGTTGGTGGTTTCAGATTTACTCTACTGAACCAGGATGACAGCCAAGAGTTTGGGGCCAGGAAGATATGTGGTTGGGGACCTTCTGTGGGCCTGGGAATGGGGATGCAGAAAAACAGTGGGGAGAAGGGAGCACACCCCTCCCCACATATCTGCCAATGGTGGTAACTTTTCAGCGATTTTCAAATGCAAAATGTGGATAAGAAAGTTGTCACTTGCATTAGTGAGAGTCCTCACAGGAAGCAGATATCACATTAAACTAGGACTGGGGAGAATTTCATGGACAGGATGTAAGAGGTGGTACAGCACCCCAGAGGGAATGGCAGTCACCCACCCTAAGACTACAGGGGAGCACTGGTGCAGAGAGGCACCCACACGAGCAGAGGCGTCTGTGGAGCCAGGGCAGTAGATCCTCTATCCTCACCCTCCTCTCACTCTCCTGTCACCTGGCTAGAGAACTAGCCAAACCCAATGGGAAACCAGGGGGCAGGAGAGGGAGTGCCAGCAAATAGATGCTCAGCACATCAAGTTCGCGGTGACAGGGTCCCCAAGGAGCAGTGGGAAACCAGCACCTGCGTGTCAAAAGGATGGGGTGCTCAGATCAGGAGGCAGCAGCAGCCATACTTCCCATCAGGGAGGGGGCAGGCCTGCTTAACGGTCCAAGCTGCCAGACTTCGTTCCCTATTCTGCAGCCACAGTGTTCCCGAAAAGCTGTATCAAGTCATTTTGAAACAGAGAGGGAACCTCTGGCAGTCCACATTAGCTGGGTGTTGCTAACGTGGTCCCTGAGCTGTTACTGATGCTCCCCCGGGGTGGGTGAGGCCCACAGATGGTGGGATTTCTCCTCTATAGCCACTGTCCCACTTACCAGGGATGAATTCCCTCTCTCCTTTAGCAGTTAATGAGATCATGAACAGAAAGTCTGATTTGAAAAAAACAGAGAGCAGCATTTCCTATTTTAAATAAGCTTGTTACCTTAAGACATCCCAGGCACGGGGCAGAGCTCCCCGTCAGTAGATTGACAGATCAGACATGAATTTATGTTCAGTACAGTATTTAGCACTGACTGTGAAACAAAATACCCATCACTGCTTATGCCTCCCATTAAAATCTCCAGGTCTATGGAAAGTTCCCAGATATTTTCAGAAAGATCATTTCTACAAAGCCTCTGCAAAC